CTGCTCATGATCTGCTTCCACTCATCAGGCCTGGCCCCGATGACAGCGTGGGCGTCCTCGATATCGTTCAGCATCTCGAGGGCGTGACTTTCCTTTGCAACCATTTCCGCTGCCCTCAAGCTCAAGATAGCACGCAGATCGTCAGTCTTGATGCCCTCGATGCAGAACCTGATCAGCGACTCGCAAACATGAAGCAGGCTAGTGGTGTCCTCCAACTCGCAGCCCAAGTACGCAGCATACTTGACCAGCTGGGACTGGTTGAGGTTGCCGAAGCACCTGCGAGCAACCACCGCCTTCAGCGCCTCGACGGGCCCAGTTCTGATGACCCTTATCGCCGCGTCAGCGAAGCCATCGACCTGCGCGCCGTGGCCTCCATGTTCGATCAGCTGCGAATACGGACTCTTCCATTTCACTGGAGCGGCGTCCCACTGATCAACGTCAAGCACTGCGTGGCACAGCTCGCGGGCAAGGAAGTCGGAGCGGTCCAGCTCGTAACACGCGCCGTTGGCGCCAGGGACGTCACGCTCCGCCACGGGATACATAACAGCAGCGCCGTCGTTGAAGTGCCCCATGGCCAGCATCCAAGAACCTACAGGCCCCTCAGGAGACTTCCTGCGGACGACCATTTCCATTTTGTAATCAATCAAGATGCTGAGCCATACTTTGTCCAAGCTGCCAGTCGAACCATACTTGCGGGCCTGCTCCACCATCACCTGATCAGCATGGGCCATGCTGCACTCCTCGGCCCCACATGAATACCACGACGTGTCCTTTGTCAAACGAGGTAAGCTGCCTGAGCTCCTGTGGCGAAGTCTTGACTTTCACGGCGTGGGCCTCGGGGTCGAGCACCATGTCTCTACCTGGAGACACTTGTCCAACCTTGACGGCGACAAACCTGTTCTTGCCGCCCAACACGTCGCCATCGATCAACGCTTCGAAAGCCCCTGAGATAGCGCCCATCTTGTTGACATAAGGTTTATAGTTCTTCTGCTTGTTTAAACAATCCTCTGTAGATTGGCTCTGGCCGATGCCCGAGTTGGACTCAATCGCCCACTGCCTGAGGCGGTCGGTGACAACGAAGCCCGACCCTCTAATAACTTCATAGACCTGTAACTTGGACATGTGTTTCCAAACGCTCCTGTGGATAAGCTCGTTCACGCCCTTCCTGGTGTCGCAATTATCCAAGAGCCACTGGCAGTTCTCGTAGTCCTCTTTGATGCTCATCAAAGCGGGCTGCGCCCGCGGGTCATCTTTCTTTAATCATCAGCGCTGTCCTCGGAGATGGGCCCAACCACATATGAGTGAACCGCTTGATCCGAGCAAGGTTCAGGCCCGTCTGCAAGTGGCCGAAAACAGAAGCCAACTCGTCCTCCTTGTGCTGGTGGACACGAGGGTCAGACTTCGCCAACTGCGACTCGTTTAGAATGAAGAACTCGCACTCTTCCAAATGCCACGCCACACTCAACATGGCGAACGTGTCACCGAGACGGCCCAAGAAATCTCCGGCCATCTCGTCGTAAGTCCAATTCAAAGTCTCATGAGCACTACGCATCGCAGCACAAGACTCAGACTGCCATTGGTCCCAAAGGAGCACGCCTGTCGTAACGATTTTGTCTTTCTGCCTCGTCTCAGCGCCCATCGTCTCGACGGTCGCGACGACGAGCTGGTTAGCGCACTCCTTTTTGTAGCTCTTGGCAGCTGTGTTAGTGCCCCATCGGCATCGTACTCAGGCCCGAGCCCGCAGTAACTTTGGCAAAGTTGGCGTTGCCCATGAACCCTGCCTCGATGCACGTGTGCAAGTACCAGAACTTCCGCTGGCTGTAGTTCTTGAGGCCGGCCCTCAGTCGGTGAACCACGTTGTTCCAGCGGCTGGGTGCGGCCTTGGTGCCCTTGGTCCTCGCGGGGTTCTCCGCGCGCATCTCCCCCCAGAGCTCCTGCGCAGGGTCCTCAGAATTCCTGAACTTACTCCCCGCTGGCTCGTCGAGCAGGTCGGGGAGGTGGCCGAGGAACAACGGCAAGTCTGCAGCCTCGTGCTGCTGCATCTCAGCGATGGCTGAAGACACCTGTCGCCAGCGAGTGCCCTCTTCATATGGGCTGCGCGGCACGTTGATCCTCGCGCACGCCAGCATCATGTAATCCTTTCCGAACGTCCTTTCGATCTGATTATTGATATCATTGTGAACGCCGTGGTTGGTATCCCATATCATGTCGATATTCACGTTCATGCGATGCAAGAAATAGCTAGCACATACGCCATCTGAACCCATATCTGGTGACATATTCAGCAAAGCGCTGCCACGCTGCTTGACCTTGTCCGGCACCTGGAAGTACAGCAAGCCGTTCGGCAGGAAGGGCTCCAGCATATGATGCACGTGGGCGCACCACTGGCACGAGGCCTTCCTGTAGCGCTTCCTGGGACGGAGTGACCTTAAGTCTCTCCAGCGATCGGCTGATCGATCCTCGTCGTCCGTCGTAGACGTCGCGTTCCTCGCCCTCCTCATCTAGTGGCCCCTCAACTACGTCAACGTCATCATAATACTCGTTATCAGTTTCATCATGATTATCATCCACGTACCCGCCGTAAGCATCATCATGACACCCGGGCTAAATCTATCATTTTCAGTCGTCGCTGTCCGTCGACTCCGTAACCTCACTGCGCCATAAGACCAACGAGGTAAAACCTAACATGCAACATGTGATTTTGCGTGGATGTCTCCAGAGAAACAACGAACGTCAGGAGCCCACTAAGGCTCCGCAGGGTGCCGTCACGTTTCCAAACCGCTACCTCCTCAAGGATGAGAGGGCCCCTAGGGGCCAGCAGTGCTCAACTCGACCCCGATATCGGGGTCGAGCTGAGCATTGCCGGCCCCGCAGCACCCAGGAACGTTCGACCGCCGCGACGAGGGCGAGGCCGAAGGCCAGGCATCCGAGGAGCCGACGCGGCAGTGCCCATGCGGCGCTTGCTCACGCGCACGCGCTGGCGGTCGCGAAGCTCGTTCTTGGCGACGGCCAGCGCCTCAGTGCTCGTGGCCTCGGCGAACTCAAGCTCACCGATGAAGTCGGACACGTCCTCAGGGAGGTGGGCGGCCGCCGACCGCGACGACGGCGACGACGACGACGACGACGGCGGCGGCGGCGGCGACGCGCATCTTCTGCGAGAAAGCACGTTCCCCCCGCGTCCTGGAGCGAATTGTCGAAAACCAATCAATACATGTGGGGGCCCAGTTTTGCAGAGGAAAACGACGGCGACCACGAACGAAAACGACGGTGACCCCGGCCGACGGCGACCCCCCAGGGAGGGCAGACATTCCCTCAGTCAGAGGGGAGGAGGAGGAAGAGGAGGAGGCGGCGGAGGAGGGAGCGAGGGGGGGAGGGAGGAAGGAGGGCGAGGAGGATGACCGAGGGGATTCCGCTCCCCCTGCCGAGGGCAGACAGCCCCTCAGTCAGAGGGGATGAGGAGGCATCTCCTTCTCCTCTTCCTCCTTCTCCCCCCCCCCCCCCCCCCCCCCCCTCATCCTCATCCCCGCCCTCCTCGTCGTCCTAATCCTCCTCCGCCGCCGATCTCTCTATAGGGTCGGCTAGCGATCCTATGGAACCTCGCTGGGTTTGACAAATGTATCGAGCAAGTCGTATCCATAGGCTCGCGTATCCATAGGATCGCTAGCCGAGCTCGCTGATGATGGGCCCTCAAGGGCCGACGAGTCTGAGAATGATAGCGGTGATGCTGCCCCCCTCCCCCTCCTCAAGTTGCATGCTTGAATTGATCCAAGGCGGGCCCGAACCGAGGGGGCCAAACATATCACCCCGCGAAGACATGGTGCGTCTGGTCCTCGCTCGTCGCATTCATCCTCCGAGCCCTTCATGCGAATCATCCCGATCGTCATCCTGCTCCTCTTCCCTCGTCCCCCTCCTCTTCCCAACTCCTCATCATCACTAGTCATCCCCCCAATCCTCCTCTACGTTCCAGTCATCCTCCATCCTCCTCTTCCGCCACCTCCCCATCCACCTCCCCCTCCTCCTAATCCCAACTCCTCCTCCACCTCCACCTCCTCCTCCCCCTTAGTCTAGCCACCCGACGGTCCTGGGGCACAGCGTAGAAGGCCTTATTGTTGGCCATGGTGATCGCCGAGTTCATGATCTTCCAGGTCTGCACGCTGCTCTCATCGGGCGCCATGCTCACAAACACTGGCTTAGACAACTCCATGAGACGCTGACAATGTTTGAAATACTGCGCGATCTTCCGGTCGCGCGAGAGCACCACGTCGACGGCCTCGCCAGGGCCGCCAGGGCCAGCTGGCGCAGCTGGCGCGAGCCTGGCCTCCAAGACGCGCCCGAGGTTCCAGAAGATCTGCACCCGCCGAACCCCGATGGGGCCCCCCAGCGCGCCAGGCGCATCCCCTTCTCCAGCGCAAAGGGTCAGGGATATGATCGGGGAAAATGAACAAGGTCGCTTAAACTCTGCTGGCGCACCACTGAAATCCAACAATTGCTCTGGGAGGGAACAGAATTCTCTCTGGGAGGAACGCAATGTTCTCTGGGAGGAAATATATATTGTTTGCTCCGCTAAAGTGGCTCGGGACAAGCTAAGAATACAGCTCAGGCCAAGGTTCTTCCACGCGAGCGTTTTCCCATCACCATTGCTCTCCTTGATGGCCTCCTCCTCCTCCCATATCGTCAGTCTTCCTCCTATCCCTCGATCTTCTCGTCTCTAAGCACTCCTGGGCGGGCATGGCATAGCGGGGCGGCGGGCATCGGCGAAAGCCTTGCCTATCATGCACAGCTTCTTCCTGGAGCGCGAGAAGCCGTCCGTAACCAAAAACCTGAGGAACTCCTCGATGCCGCGGCGCTCGGCGGTGTACTTGGACAGCGCGCTCGCCCAGGCCCTGTAGTTGGCGGTGGACTTCCGCTTCTTCCTCGCCGCGATGTCTGTGAGATCCACGCTGCCGTCGGAGCCGATCTTGACAATGAAGGGGCCTTTCCCGCGAGAATAACCGTTCGGAGTCCGCTGGACGTCGGGATCAGCGCCCAGGACGAACTCCACATCTGTGCAATATGTGTTGATGAGCCTGCGGAGAAAACTGGATGCTCCTACCCTCTCTGATCCAACAGTCAGGCCACGCTTGTTCTTGGACGCGCACCCCCAGACCGACAGTAAGTATAGAAGGGCCGAAGCAGAAATTGCTGTGTCAGTAAGTGGCGAGAATTATGCTCCGAAGGTGTCTAGGCTGAGCTCCCCCTTGGACCTCGGGCACGACTTTAAGAGGCCACCGATCTGATGTTTCGCGAGAGGCTTCTTCCAAAGCGGGAAGTGCTTGCGTATGTATGTGCCAGCCGTCCTCTCCTTTTTGATGCCAGTGATTTTGATAGCGTCTGTCGCACTGAAGTAGAGACGGCCACCATCTCGAGGTATCGTGAATACAAGCATGCCGAGTTTGTCCATCGCGCCACCATGCTAAACCTGAAGCTCGATCTCCTTCTGGGCGCGTTCGTGTAAGTACTCGTGCCACCACATGCGTTTGGAAGTGTTGTCCTCTCGGTATGAGATCAAGACCGCTAGCTTGTGGGTGATGCTGTGCTTATAGACGGTGACCTTATCCAAGAGGTCGGCGACGAAAAGGACTTAGGCCTCGCCTGCTTCACGAGGCTCGATCACGACGCCTCTGCCCTCGATCACCTCCAAAAACCACTCTGACATAGTCGCGTGCAACTCGTGCCACCCGGCCGTGTTGACGTCCACCAGCTCGTACTTGTCGGCCGGGGCGTCGTAGTACAGCTTCGCATTCGGCTCCACTACGTCATAATCGATGTCAAAAACTTCAGCAGCGGGCACCTCCTCATCTGGCAAGGGCTGTTGCTCATCCACTGGGCCTGGCCCGAAAGGGAGAGCATCTCCATCGGGCTCTGGAAGTGGCGACGCGGGCAGCGCAGGGGGGCCACCTGCAGGAAGCGGAGGCTCGCGTGCATCATCACGGCTGTCATCAGCTCCAGCGGCCTCGCAGATGCCGAGATCGCCCACGGCCTCGGCCCCATGATCGAGCCCAGGGGGCGCAGCACCGTCTCCCATGTCATCATCTGCAGCCGCGGCCACGCGCATGGCCTCCACGCAGAAGTCACCCCCCTTGACAGAGAGGACGCGCTCCCGACGCACGCGCTCCTCTAGGGAAGCCCTGGTGAAAGGTTTTTTCTTCAACATCTCCTTGAGGTAGTGAACCTGTTTATCGTAATCTAGGAACACCATCGACTCACCAATCCAATCAAACCCTCGATTGAGAGGGTGTGGCGGTTGCAAGCGAGCTACAGGAGCTTGGGCCAAAACAGCCACGGCTCCTCCTCGCACCCAGCCTCGCGAACCCCCCGCGCCAGAATATATATATATATATATATATACATATATATATATATATATAAAGGGTATCCAGAGCCCTCCGAAGGCCCAAATAATGTCGGGCCCAGGCGGGCAAACGGGAGCCTGAAAGCCCTCGGATTCGGACCTGGACTTGGACCGTGCCCACGGAAACCGATGGCGCGCATGCCATTTTCAGGCGGTGCGGTGAGGGGCATATGGAAGATGACTAGGATGACAATGATCAGTAAGAGCGACGATGAAAACTAGGGCTAGATGGATCGAGAAGGGGAGGT